ATCAAAATTGAGGACTTCAAGCATGCCAGGCAAGCACATTATTACTACACAACCCAGGTCCAGATAAACAATTTCATTTTGCACTATTCTTCAAAAGAGTCAGGCCATGTATGGTGGGCGGCTCATATTTGTAACTTCAACACTTGGGAGGCTGAGACAGGAGAATTTCTATGAGTTCTAGACCAGTCTAGGCTGCCAAGTGAAGCATTATCTCCCCACCCTCCCCCCAAACCAGCCAAACAAACAAAGTCCATGAAGATTCCATGAGTAAGCACTGTTCAACTTACGCTCTTCCTAAGGTGAGATGTGAAGCTCCTCTAAGGATGATGGAATTTGGAATTTGGACATAACACTTTACACATTTGTTTTCCCTAACTTCTACCAGATTCACCATTTCCTTCAGTGTTAGGAACATGAGCCACAACAGTAATGGCACATGTAGTAGAAAAATAAATAGACTTTGCCACCAACAGACATCATGGACATTTCCACATGATGTTATAATTATTACTACAACCAACTTGAAATACTGTTTAAACCCATAACTATATTTAAATTACTATAGCAATAAGACCTATAGACAAACATTTACTATAATAATAATAATAAAAGGCACTTATTGGGGCTGGAGAGGTGGCTCAGCTTTTAAGATTGTGTACCCCTCTTACAAAGGACTTAAGTTTGTTTTCTAGCACTCAAGTTTGGTAGCTCACAACCACTTCTAAATCCAGCTCCAGGGGAACTGACACGTTTTTTTGGCTATGGGCACTGCACTCATTTGCACATAGCCTCACACAGATACATATATAAACATAATTTTAAAAAGTAAAAATAGGAGTTTGAGAGATGGCTCAGCAGTTAAGAACATTGACTGTTCTTCTAGAGGACTTGGTTCAATTCCAAATGTCTACATGGCAGCTCACAACTGTCTGCAATTATCATTCCAGGAGCTCCAATGCTCTTTTCTAGGACATTAGACATACATCTGGTGTCCAACACATATGCAAGACAAGTACCCATACATATACAGTAAATTTTTTTAAAACTTAGTAAGGGGCCAGGTGGTGGTGGCATATGCCTTTAATTCCAGCACTCAAGAGGCAAAGCCAGGCAGATCTCTGTGAGCTCGAGACCAGCCTGGTCTACAAGAGCTAGTTCCAGGACAGCCTCCAAAGCCAGAGAAACCCTGTCTCGGGGGAAAAAAAAAACTGCTGTAGTACACACTTTAAAATATTTTTTAATTACTGCAACATAACAATTCTTTTATCATTCTATGTATTTTTTTTTTTTGGTTTTACGAGACAGGGTTTCTCTGTTTTGGAGGCTGTCGGTCCAGCCTGGCCTCGAACTTACAGAGATCCACCTGCCTCTGCCTCCCGAGTGCTGGGATTAAAGGCGTGCGCCACCAACGCCTGGCTTCATTCTATGTATTTTAATTCTTTGTGAAAATTATTCTGCTGGGGTGGTGCAGGTTTTTAATGGCAGCAATTAGGAGGTAGGGGTAGGTGGATCTCTGTGACTTCAAGGTCAGCCTACTCTACATAGAGACTCAGTTTCAAAAAAGAAAAAAGAAAAAGAAAAGAAAATTACTCTAAGCTTGGTGTTGTGGGTTACATCTGTGGTACCAGCATCTGGGAGGTAGATACAGGAGGATCAGGAATTCAAGGTTATCCTCAGTTACAAAGCAAGCTGAAGATCAGCCTAAGATATAGAAAACCATGCCTCTAAAAAAGGAAAAATCACTGTGAAACAGACCTTCATGAGGTCTCATCAGACCACAAAAAAAGCCCCCTGTTCTGAGACCAAAATGGAAGCAAACACAATCACATCTAAGGTAGATATCAAAAGTAAAGCCAAACCCAGCCCTTCTGTACATTCATGCTCTCAGTACAGAGCAAAAACCCTGTCACTGATTTTAGTAGCCCTCATGTCAAAAGTGGTTTGTAAACAACTGTGAATGTAATGGAACAGTCTTGTAAATCTGAGGGTCCCCCTAGTTCATAGGCAGTCATCCTAGTTCAAACAAAGTCCCAAACTAATATAACTTTCAACTTATGGTTACAACAGAGTTAACCAGAGACAGAAAGAGATGTCCTGATATATACCTACCTACCTACCTACCTACAAATTGTTTTTTCAAAGTATATAATACTGATAATTCTATTACTTAGGAAACCTAAGTAATCCCGAAGTGCTGGGATTTAAGACTTGTGCCAGCACCGCCCAGCTGAGACCATTCTTCTTAAAAGAAGAGGTCCTCATATCAAATAGTAATGGTGACACACACCTTTAATCCCAGCATTCAGGAGGCAGAGGCAGACAGATCTCTGTGAGTTCTAGGCCAGCCTGGCCTACAGAAGCGAGTTTCAGGACAGCCTTCAAAGCTACAGAGAAAACCTGTCTCCAAAAGAAAAGAAAGAAGTGCAGATGAGTATAGTGGCACACCCTTGTAATTCCAGCACTCAGGGGGCTAAGGCAGGAGAACTGTTATACATATAACTGTTATACATATATTTGTTTCACGATCTCACTTTGTAGTCCTGGTTGGCCTGGAACTTGATAATGTAGACCACGATAGTCTTGAACTCACAGATATCCAACTGCCTCTGCCTTCCAAGAGCTGAGATTAAAGACATGTGGGCCACTACACCTCAGACTGTCAAGAATTCAATGCCAGCCTGTGCTACATAGTGAGTTACAAGCCAACCAAGACTACAAAGAAGAGATCCTATCTCAAAATAGATTAGGGGAGACAGAACATACTCATTTCAGTTCATTTCAACTGAATTACTAATAGCCCTCAAGAAAGAGAGTGATTGGGAAATAAAAGCAGAAGATAAAACTTTAACTGAATTAGCCACAATGTGGTATCATTCCCAGGTGTCAGGCTTAGCCTACAGTGCAAAAACTATCAGGTTAGAGAGATGAAAGCATCAAAGCCTTTCCGTGACTGCTGACACTTCAAGCATCATTCTGCCCTTTTCTCCCATGACAGTTCCCATATAGTACCACATTATTTGCCATTGTATAGGGCAATACCATTCTTTTTATTTTTCATGTATTATTATGATTCCCTGTGTGTGTGCTTGCTCATGAATGTATACCATGGTGCATGCTCAGGAAAGGTAGTTTTCTCTTCTTCCGTCTTTATGTGGACTCCAGAGGTTAAATTCAAGGAGGCAGGCTTGAATCAAGGTAAAGCGCCTTTAATGGCTAAGCCATCTCCTTGGCCCCCAGCCCAGATCCTACATTTAATTTTTCTTTAAAATCAGGTTTTTGAGCCGGGCGTTGGTGGCGCACGCCTTTAATCCCAGCACTCGGGAGGCAGAGGCAGGTGGATCTCTGTGAGTTCGAGGCCAGCCTAGTCTACAGAGTGAGTTCCAGGACAGCCTCCAAAACAATACAGAGAAACCCTGTCTCAAAAAAACCAAAAAAAAAAAAAAAACCCAACCAGGTTTTTGTGCTTTGTAACCCACAGGTGCTGGAATTACAGGTGTGTGCCAGCTACCTTACCCAGTTCCAATATTTTTATTTTGTTTTTTAATACAAAGTATCTCTATGTAGTCCTGGTCTTTGACATGTAGTTCAGGCTGCCTTTGAACTCACAGAGGTTCCCCTGCCTGTACCTGCTATGCACTGGAATCAAAGACATTTGCCACTATACCTGGCCCAATCCTCTATATTAGCAATTCTACTTACTTGTAAATTCTCTAAACTTAAAGACTGAATAGAATGTGAAGATCATATATCTCCCTACCTCTGTTTTATTCTTAGTATGCTGTTATCTGTGTTTTCAGTTCCCTCCTCAAGCTTGGTTCCTAGCCTCAAAGTTTCTCCTTCCTCAATACCTATTCCAAGCAGTTTCTCCTACCACAAACTCCTATAGGCTCACTGCCTCTATAACTATCATTATCCCTATTTAAATATAGCTATAGGCTCTCCCAAAGACCCTGAGTTTTAGTCTTCAATCGTAACTAGTCACCTCGATTATGTCCAAAAAGCCTTCTTCAGTTAAGCGCGTCTGTGGGAACTTGTGCCCGGAACAGGTCCCGGTTCCTAACTCATATTTGCACTTACTTCCCTGCAGTTCCTTAATCATAGACTCATCACAGAAAGAAAAGTTCAGAAATAATCCGATCCACTGCTTCTCAAAACAAGCAGCAAAAAGCTTGACATGGTGGCACGCGCCTTTAATCCCAGCACTAGGAAGTCAGAGACCAGAAGACCTCTTGAGAGGTCAAGGCGACCCTGGTCTGGATAGTGAGTTCCAGGACAGCCAAGGTTACACAAAGAAACCCGTCTGGGGGGGGGGGGGGGGGAGGCAGGTATCCCAGGCTCGCCTTGAACCCACCAGGCTGTATTAAAATGTAAATACTCCTGCCTCAGCCTCGTGGGTGTCAGGATTATAGCTGTGCGTCACCACACCCAGTTTTCAAACATTGGCTACATTTTACTGCATACATTGCAAGATGTACAAAACTAACTTTACCTCACCATTGCAAACACACATACCTGAAACCCATTTTATAATCCTTAACAGTGAGGATTTCTAGTCTAGTACAGTTGTCTTTTTATTCAGTTGCCACCCCCCTAAACTGTCTTCACAACGAGCCAGTACACAGGGACGCATCGCTGGGAGGCATTAATCCGAACCCGAACTTCCCATTCACTAGTGAAGAAGCTGTAACTCGGTGCTGAGTTAAGTTCTCGCCCACAGAACTTTGCCGGTCAGGTTCAAGCTCTTGTCTGGTAAGCCCCACGGCAGTGTGGTTTAAGACCTGTGCCCAGGCACTCACTCGCTCACTCACTCCGTACACAAACACAACGTGGAGCACCAACCCCAATTCCTGATCTTACATTCTTCTCCAGGTCAGCCCTCAAAGTCTCTGCTTGTTGGTGAGCGTGCCCTCGTAGCCGCGGCTCCATGCTCCCTCGGGTCAATCCCCTCAGTCACTATCCATCGATCACTCAGTGCCCGGTAGTCACCGCAGCATACTTACTCGGTCATGGTCCCGTCGCAGCCTCTGCCTCGTGCTCTCCGAGGTCAGAGTCCCTCGCGTTTGCTGCTCCGGGGTCGCAGACCCCTCACAAGCAGCCGCCGCTGGGTCACAGTCGTCCTGGCTGTCATTGTACCTCGGTCACAGTAGCCTCGCAGCCCCTGCTTCACACTTCCCTGGCTGTCACTGACCCGCTGCGCCTCAGTCACAGCCCCCGCACGGTCCCAGCCGGCGTTTTCCCACGCAAGCAAACACCACCCGGGTTCCTTACCGCAGCTCTCCCAGGCTCCGGGGCCGTCCGATTCCTTCCTCGCGCCGCGTCACCGACTAGCGAAGTCAAATAGGTTGCGGGGAGACGCCCGGGAAACATCTGACCGGACTGCGCACCGGAAGTCCCGCCTACCGCCCGCCCTCTTGTCAATCCCACCACCACATCCCTGAAAACCACAACCTGACATAGTAGTTCCGCTTCCAGCAGTGCCGGGCGGGTGGAGTGATGGAGCAAAAGCACCGGAGCCAGGCACGGGGCCAACAGCCCCGGAATACCGGATGTGTGGCGCCTCCTGCCGGCGGGGACTCGCTCGGCCTGTGGCCTCCCGGCGTCCCTTGCGCCCTGACACCCAACCTCACCGCAGAATTAGAGCCCGCTAGCCACGTTCGGGGAATGCTCGGGTCTGAGCTCACCTGTTCCGGTTATGTTGACCTAGGGTGACCCATCAAGAAATGATCCCTACTAATCGACTGAGAAAGTAGTTGAGCCTGAGCACAGGCGATGGCACTGGTAGGAAAATGCACGAATCAGGGTGTGCAGTCTAAGAGAGCGAACTCGCTACGGTGAACTTTTGTAAAGGTTCCTTTTAAGATTTGCGCGGGTTGGGCCGGGCAGTGGTGGCGCACGCCTTTAAGCCCAGCACTCGGGAGGCAGAGGCAGGCGGATCTCTGTGAGTTCGAGGCCAGCCTGGTCTACAAAGTGAGTTCCAGGACAGCCTCCAAAACAATAGAGAAACCCTGTCTCGAAAAAACCAAAAAAAAAAAAAAAAAATGTGCTGGTTATCCCTGGCATACAAATGGACTTTGGCTGCCCATCCCACAATGAAGGATGCTCTCTCAGCCTGGACCGTTGGGGGAGGGCCTAAGCCCTGCCCTGGATGAAATGACAGATGAAATGACAGACTCTGGAGATCCACCATGGAGGGCCTCACCCTCCCTGGGGATCGGAGTAGAGATTGGGTGGGGGGCTGGGAGGCCTGATGTGAGGGCGGGGAGGAGAGGAGGGAGCTGGGATTGACATGTGAGGCAAGCTTGTTTCTAACTTAAATCTAAAAAAAGGAAGAAAAAAAAAGATTTGTGCGAGTCCACAGAGGCCATAAACAAGGCGACAGAGGAGCTGGAGTGACAGGCCTTGGTGAGCACCTTCAAGGGTGCTGGGACCTACACTCTAGTCCTCTGCTAGGGCAGTAAGTGTTCTTAACTCTTAGCCACGGAGCCATCTCTCCATCCCCTTTGTGGTGCTGAGCTTTTTGTTTGGGGATTAAAAGTAACTATTATACTGGGTCTCACACTATTTCCAGGCTGGCCTGGAACTTACTATGTATCCCATGCTGGCCTTGAACTTGCAGTGGGCCTCTTACCTCAGCCTCCAGAATGCAAGCATTAGCCACCACACCCAGCTCGATTTTGTAGACATAAGGCAAGTGTTGGTGCATAAAGTTACAGAAGAAAGATGGAAAAAAAGCTTGAATGCATTTGTTTGCACATTTTACTTGAAGATAACTGCTGAGGTCCAAAGAGAAAAATGATTAAAATCTGACACATATACCTTTAAGTTCAAGATAAAATGGCCCAAATAAGCACAGCTAACTGGAGGAGACACCGAGGACCTCTATGGGGAAGTGGTCATGGCAAAAATAGTATATATTGTAGCCAACACAGGATTTTTAGGGATTCTACTTTATTTACAACTTGAAGCTTCTCAGACCCTGGCACTAAACAAATGTTGTAAGAGCTCAGACAGCATAGTAAAGTCAAACTATTAAATATATAAAATCTAAAACAACAGATTTTAGGTGCCAAAGTATCAACTTATTTTTATTTGGTCAGGATATTTAACAATATAAAAAAAGTCGAGGTTTCTTCATAGTCACAGTCATTCTTTCCAATGATTCAATAGTAGAAACAACCAAACGCTGCTACAACACAGAATAAGCTGTCCTATAAAGAATAAATAAATAAATGAGATACAAATCCAGGATATCAGTGCTACAGAGAAAGCAGGTCAACGAGGCAACTGGAATGAAGACTGACCCAGCGCTTATACTAGTATAAATAACTAACTTTTTCTTCTATTTTCAGAGAATCTCCACATGTAACCCAAAGACTTCAACATAGACAATCAAACTTGAAATAATCTTCCTGCCTCAAGCTAACAAGTGTAGGGATTACAGATTGACCCTCCATACCCTCCCTTTTTGTCAATTTTCAATTATGAAGATTTCTTCCTTCAAGAAACAAGGTTTCCAATGAGCAGCTATAACGTTTTCCTGATGATACCTACAAGACTGCTTACTAAAAGGTGCCAAGTAGGGTAGGAGGGGAGTTAGGAGAGTGGATAATTGAAGCAATCTATTTGCATGTATGGAAATGCCAATGAAACCCATTATATATAATTAACATTCAGAATCTAATATTTGAGGTTGAGGAAGGAGGACAGAGTGGGAGGTCAGCCTCTTTAATTACACACACACACATATAATCAATTATGTAATTATATATACATATAATTAATTATATGATATCGTGGTACATGCCTTTAATGCCTGCTCTCAGTATACACAGGCAAGATCTGAGCTTCAGGCCAGCTTGGTCTACACAGGAAGTTCCAGGCCAGCCAGCCAGAGTTATAAAGTGAGACTCTTGTCTCAAAAAAACAAAAAGCAGGCTGTAGAAACAACCTGGGGTGAAGAACACACACTGCTCTTGCAGAGGAGCTAAGTGGTTCCCTGCACCCACATCAGGTGGCTCATAGGGGATCTATCTGATACTCTCTTCTGACCTCTGGGGACACCTGCACTCACATGAACATACCCACAAGACACACACACACACACACTTATATATACTTATATATGTATTTTTGAAACAATGAGGTAAAATTACAGGAAGATAGAAAAAGAATCATATTTTTAAAATATATGAATGAAACTTTAGATAATGAGTATTTACAAAATTATTCTATATCCCCCTACTTAACACAGAAATAATTATCAAATGCTTTGAGATTATTGGAATAAGTGCATTACCCAGAGTAAGTACTATAGGATACTATGATTGACAATAACAGCATATTATCATACACTCTGGATAGGGAAACACATGCTAGGCAAGATCTCACTAAATCGCCCAGGATAGTCTTGAATTCACTCTTGCCAAAAGGGTCTTCAAGTAGAGACCTCTTGCTTTAGCCTCTTGAGCACCTGGAATTAAGAGGCCTGCATCACCGGGCTAAGCTTTATTTGTCCATCTTTTCGCTTACACGTCACCAGAGCTAAATTAAACTTTATTTAATTGCAGAGCTCAATTAGACTTGTGATTGTTTTTAAGAACTACTCCAGGAGTTCTACCTGTCTTAGCAATCAATGGTTGTCATGCCAAACTTACTCTAGCCTGGTAGCAAGGAGGAAAACAAGCTGAACTCGGTACCTAACTATGAGTCAGAAGCCAGCCCTTTGAAGGGCAGCACTCTGCTGCTATGGCTGCCTTTGTGTGTTCTAACAAGAGCACATCTGTGGAGGAAGACTTGGTTTTGGGTTTTTGTTTTGTTTTTGCAATTATTCACAGAATGACACTTTGGTTTTGTTTGTGGGGATTTACAGGGGGTTGGGGGGGTCTCATGTAGTCATAGCCTTGGACTTCTAATCCTCCTGCCTCCACTTCTCAAGTGCTAAGATCAGAGAAATGCACCACTTCATAATGATGCTTTTGTAAATCCTGGCAACTAGCAGGAGCATGTGGGAAACTCTCCACAGACTGAGAGTCACTGATTGATGAGAATCTATTTGCAAAACACCCTGGCATCTATATTTTTAAATAAGTTTCCTCAGTATTAGGAAGCCACACCCATCTTTGGAAAACCTACTTTCTAATATTCATGATGTAATCTCAGAATTATCCAATGGTTTCCTTAAGGTCAATCAAAGTGACTCACCTAGAAATGGAACCCCCTTCCTAGTTTACTCAGTTCAATTTGTGTTCTGCTCTACTAACTACAACTCTATTAATTAGTTGGGGTGATTTCTGGAAGAAAGTATCAAAGTAAGTGACCTGGAACACATGTACCAATAACTTATCGATGTTTAAATGAAACTTTTGTGTTTTCTTGTTTTTGGTGTCTTGTATGTATGTATGTGTGTTTCTTTAATGATTTTTTGTTGTTGTTTTTGAGACAGGGTTCTCTTGTAGTCCAGGATAGCCAAGGATGACTTTGAACTCCTCCTGATCCTTCTGCCTATATCCACCGAGTGCTGGGAACATTGACATACACTACTATGTCCAGTTCAGTGAAAGTGATAGGTGAAAGAGAGGCTAGATGGGGTACTTTCATATTCTGTATTATAAAATACATTTTTACTTAATATTGTAGAAAGGAATATGCATGTATGTGCTATCAGAATACATCATTGTTTTTTGTTTGTTTGTATTTCTGAGACAGGGTCTCTCATATATCCCTGGCTATCCTGGAATTAAATTGTAGACCAGGCTGGCCTTGAACTCACAAAACTGCCTTCATCTGCCTTCTTGATGCTATGATTAAAAGCTTGCACTACCATGCCCAGCTAATTGTTCTTTTTTAAAAAAATCTCTTATTTTACCTGTTTGTATGTTTTGCCTGCATTTACATCTGTGCACAACATGTGTGCAGTGCCTGTTGAAGCCAGAAGAGAGGGTGGTGGGTCTCCTGGGACTAGTGCTACAGACAGTCCAGAGCTGCTATGTGAGGACTAGGAACTGAACCTGGGTCCTTTAGAAAAGCAGCCAATGTTCTGAACTGCTGAGCCATGTCTTCAGCCCCTAATTGTCTGTTCTGAGTAAACCCTACCCACATCCCAGATGCCCCTGGAGGACTACAAGGATAATACAGAAACAACCATCACCCAGTATTTAAAGTTCCTGAGCCCATACATCAGCTGGATAAAGGAAGCATGTGAGGGATGTTAATGAGAAACACACAGACATCACAGGCCTCCAAAACATGGCTGAGCACCCGACTAACGGGGTAAGCCTGAGCTCCAGAATGACTGTCTTTGTCTCCCACCCAGCCCTGCATCTCCCGGTATCATCTGCCTGATGAGGAGATGCAGACACACTTTTGAGGGTGTCAATCTACTGTCCGCTCAGATTGTCAGCTCTCTGAATAAAGCAAAGATTCAATTCCTGTCTCTGCTCATTGGCACCTGTGAGCAGCCAGGCAGAAGGAACTCTGGTTTTCCAGTTACTTCTTTTTTACAGTTCCTTTTATTTCTCTTTAGTTGAGAAGTGGTTTTAAGATAAAGTAGCTAATTTTATTATTGAAAGAAACTCATCTTTGCTTATAGAATCTTCATCCAAGTTCTTTTGTAGCTCAATGAAGTGTGGTCTGTTCAAATGAACAGATAGTTTTAAACTAAGTTTATTATTACTCTCATAAGGATTATCAGGAATGAGTTTTTGGAACACAGTGATTTAGATGGGGGTGGCAGGTTGGGGGTGGTTTGAAAGAAAATAGCCCCCAAAGGGAGTGGTACTATAGGAGGTGTGGCCTTGCTGAAGGAAGTGTGTCACTGTGGGGGGCGGGTTCTTTTGCTCAAGTTTGGCTCAGTGTGACAGAGTAAACTGCCTGTTGCCTGCAAGGTGTGGGAGTCTCAGCTCCAGCACATCTGCCTGCACACTGCCACGCTCCCGGCCGTGATGGTAACGGACTGAACCTCTGAACTGTAAGCCAGCACCCAACTGTTTCTTTTATGAGCGTTACTGTGGTCATGGTGTCTCTTCACAGCCATAGAAACTCTAAGATGGGGTTGTAGGTTAATCTTCACTGCCAACTTGACTAGGTATAGAGTCATCTCAGAGACACTGCTGGGAAAGTCTATGGGAGCGTCGCTAGAGAGGTTTAACTGAGGAGGAAAGACCCGCCCTGAACACGGGCAAGTTCCTCCTGCTACAGCCACCAACTGTTCCTACTGCCAGGCCTTCCTCACAACAGTGGACTCTACTGCCAGAACTGGAGGCCACACAACCTTTCCTCGTTAAGTGGCTTCCTGTTGTATCTAGTCTCAGCAATAAGTAAAACAAGTAGCCAATGTGGTGGCTAAAGGTTTTTTATGTTTTTTTTTTTTTTTTTGAGACAGTTTCTCTGTGTAGCCCTGGCTGCCCTTGAACTCTCTCTGTAGACCAGGCTGGCCTGAAACTCAAGAGATCCACCTGCCTCTCTCTGCCTCCTGAGTGCTGGGACTAAAGGTGTGCACCACCATCATGTGTGCATGTGCAAAATTATTTTATTAGAAGCCACTTTATCATTTTCCTGCTTTAAGCAGAAATGTCTATGAATTTTGCTTGTGATTTTTGCACAAATAAAATAGTACATTTTAAAATAAAATCACTAGCCGGGCGTTGGTGGCGCACGCCTTTAATCCCAGCACTCAGGAGGCAGAGGCAGGCAGATCTCTGTAAGTTCGAAGCCAGACTGGACTACCAAGCGAGTTCCAGGACAGCCTCCAAAGCTACAGAGAAACCCTGTCTCGAAAAACCAAAAATAAAATAAAATAAAATCGATGATACCAGGCGGTGATGATGCACACCTTTGATCCCAGCACTCAGAAGGCAGAGGCAGGTGGATCCCTGAGTTCAAAGCCAGCCTGGTCTACAGTTCTATGATATTCAGGGCTACACAGAGAAATCCTGTCTCAAAAAGAAAAACAGTTTCAGTAAAAGCACCTTATCCAGAAATCTGAGAGATGTGTCTCAAAAATACTGATATACACTAGCCATGTATCCCCAGACAGGAGAAAGGAGTTGCCCAAAGACTTACATTCATGAAGACATCATGAGTGTAGTTGTCAGTGTCTGCATCCCAGAAACATCGAGCAGCCATGCTGAAATATCAATCAAGAATGTCAGCAGTGTACATCTGAACTGTGATCTGCCACGGGCAAGTTCACTCCCTACAACCTCACAGGACCCTGCACTAACCCTGTCCATGGCACATGGAGAGCGATGTATTTGTAAAGCAAAGTATGTTAGACAACCAGGGAGAAAGGAGTCATGGGTGAGGCTGCTTGCAGCTCCAGGTGAGGCAGCCAGGGCCTCTAGCCACCTCAGCACCCCAGCTGGCTACCTGACAACTACAGGGGTCAATCACTTCAAATCCTGGTACTTAGAGTGGCCCTCCACTATAGATTACTTCAGTTCGCACACTTGTGGGTGACTTTCAGTGGGCTCAATTCCTGCAGGATAATAGGAAAAGAAGTATTACAGAGGACCCAACAGAATACTTCATCCAACATGGTCATTTGTAGAGACCTATACAAGACAGGGACAATTGAGCTAGAATTCAGTCTTCTAACTAGACCAGCACTAGAAGGTTCAAACCTGTAAAACCAACTAGGGCAGCAGAGTGAGACCCTGTTTAAAAGACAAACAATAGCCAAGTACAGTCTTGCAACTCTGTAATCCAAACACCACTCAAGGTCATCCTCAGTCACAAAATGAACTTGAGGCCAGCCTGGGCTACAGTGAAAACTTGTCTCAGAAAAAAACAAAACAAAACTAGAATTTGAAAATACTGGTTAGGGACTGGAGGGATATAAATACAGCATCAAACTATATTTATAACTAATAAAGCTAAATCAAAGAGTAGTGTTTTGGTTTTTCTTTTTTCTTTTTTTTTTTTTTCTTTTTTTCCTCCGAGACAGGGTTTCTCTGCATTGTTTTGGAGCCTGTTTGGACTCACTCTGTAGACCAGGCTGGCCTCGAGCTCACAGAGATACTCTTGCCTCTGCCTCCTGAGTACTGGGCCCTATACAATGTCTTGCAAGGATGGAAGAAAGGAACTTGTACACATGGCATAAATGGAGATTAAAGGGCACCTACTATGAGTTGGTTCTCTCCTTCCACTAAGTTGAGTCCAATGATTAACCTGGGTTGTCAGGCTTGGCAGCCGGTGCCCTAACTGATGAGCCGTCTCTTCAGCTCCCAGGACTCTTTGGAGCTTGGCCTGACTACACCTAACAAAGTCAATCCAAATCAGTAGAAGTTTCTAAAAAAACGTTCTGAAGATGCTTCTAGATTTGTGGAGGCTGAGACTATAGTGACGGGTTGATCACTTACTTCCTATGCATAAGGCCCTAAGTCCAACATCCCCACCCCACATACTGCAAACTAGACAATGTGGAACGCAATGTCATGACGTCAGAGTCAGGCCCGGATGACAATGGGCTGCTAAGTGATCCTGGTATACCCACATACACAACATACAACAGTGTCATGACTAAGAGGTGACTCTAAGGACGTCAACCTTGGAACCCACCTAGACCGTTAGCCAGGACCTCTTCAGTGCATAGCTGCATCTGGTAAGCCAAAGGCTTACTGAATTATCTATCCACACAATGGATAACTCCCAAGGAGCACAGGTATGACAGGGAAAACCAACTACTCACAATACTCCTTCTCCCCTCTGTTCTCCAATGACTACTTGCACCACCATTTTATACCGGTCATATCCCAGTTCTAGAAAGGAAGAGAAAAGAAAGTTATCTCTATTCAAGTACGTATTCAAGCTGAGTTGTTGTTGTGTTGGTGGTGGTGGTGGTTTTGAAGGAGCCATGATCTCACTGTATAGCCCTGGCCTTCACAGTATGACCAACTGGCCGACGGGTGAATTTCTTTCTCGGAGTTGTTTATAGTTGCACGTGACTATGTAAGGCCCTGGAGCACTCACTCATGCCAGCTGGCTTAGCACGACTATTTTTGAGACATAGGAGAACGGATTTTATTATAAGTATGTACCTAAAGTACTTTCTTTGGTAAAGAATTTAATGCCCTAAAATTAATATTCATTAACTGTCATTAATTTACCCTGGTACCCCAGTGTTTATTACGTAACCTGTACCTTCTTACCTGCTGTTGCTAATAATGCCTCTTACTTTCCATTGAGTGTACACTACAGAAGAAATATAGCTTTATATTTATCCTGTGAGTATTCAAATACTAAACATACTGTGAACAGCTGCCAATTCATGTATTAGATGAAAATGGAATACTGAGCCAGGCGATGGTGGCACACGTCTTTAATCCCAGCACTCGGGAGGCAAGGGCAGGCAGATCTCTGTGAGTTCACGACCAGCCTGGTCTACAGAGCGAGTTCCAGGACAGCCTCCAAAGCAATACAGAGAAACCCTGTCTCTGAAAAACCAAAAAAAAAAAAAAAAAAAAAAAAAGAAGAAGAAGAAGAAAAAAGAAAGGAATACTGTTTTGAGAACAAATCCTCCACTCTTACAGAACAGCCTCAATGGAATAAAAATTGTGACATTTGACCAAATAAAATGAAAAGAAAGGAAAAGCTAAAAAGGAGGCTACGGCTGGGTTTGTGATTGTGACTTTGTGGTACAACACTTGCCTGGCACACAGGAAGCCCAGAACTCCATCTCTGACACTATAAAAGGAGGGTAGCACAGACAGAAGTAAATAACTTTTCTGACAGTTTAACATTAAAAATAGGACATGAGAGCCAGGTGGTGATGGTGCCTGTCTTTAATCCCAGCACTCAGGAGGCAGATGCAGACTGATCTCTGTGAGTTCCAGGCCAGCCTGATTTACAAAGTAAGTTCCTGGATAGTCAGGGCTACACAGAGAAACCTTGTCTCCAAAAACAGAAGCAAATAAACAAAAAATGAACATGATGGCACACCTCTTTTCTCCTATCATTCAGGAGGCAGAGACAGGTGGATCTCCATGAATTCCAGGCCAGCCTGGTCTACATACAAAGTTCCCAGTCTCAAAAAACAAAAAAGTTTGTTAGCAAGAGACAAAAAGCACAAAATGTACTATTCATATGTCAAGTTTGGCAAGAGTAGAGGGCTGAATAAGAAAAGCAGTTAAGGACTCAGCAAGAAGTGGGCCTAGGACAGCCTGGGAGGGTACTGAACTCCAGACAAAACAATCGAAAGTTGGTAGGAAAGCAAGCAATAATTATGAAGGAAAGGAGGCCTTTCTGAATATTTGGGTTTCTTGGACATTGGTTCCCTGTGATGCTTTCATGCAAAGCTTTACTCTTTGCTATAGTCTGCAAAATCCCACCTGAGTAAAAATCACCAAATAATTATAAAATTCTAGACATTGAAGAAAAAGTTGTCTTTAACAGAATGCATAGTTCATCTCCTGGGTTCAAAGATGGGGCAGCCGAAACAATACAGAGAAACCCTGTCTCGTAAAAACCAAAAAAAAAAAAAAAAAAGATGGGGCAGGATGCCAGGTGAGCAGCGATGGCCCATGCCTTTAATCACAGCACTCAGGAGGCAGATTTCTATGAGTTCAAGGCTAGCCTGGTTTACAGAGTGACTTCCAGGACAGCTAGGACTACACAGAGTGTATCAAAGGGGGGGGGGGGCAGGAACAAACGGGTAGAACTGGTTGTTTGAAGGGAACATCATTGCCAGCTGTAATCATATTACCTTTTAGTTTATCTTTAATGATTTCTGACAGATGTTTTGTGAGATTAGGCATTTCATCTGGAGAATATTCAGCACTTGCCAGTTCTTCCTTGAGCACAGCATGGATGCAGTCTTTAACCACAGATGGTCTAAATCTAAGACAAACAATTTAAGAATATCTAAATGTCAGCTCAGAACCCCAACGTGTCTTCACACTTCAGTCTTTCTGTCATCAGTAGCCCTAAAATACTGTATCTAGCTGGGAGGTGGTGATGTGTGCCCTTAGATCCCAGCACTTGGGAGGCAGAATCAGGAGGATTTCTGAGAGTTTGAGGCCAGCCTGTCTACAGAGTGAGATCCAGGACAGCCAGGGCTACACAGGGAAGCCCTGTCTCAAAAAAGCAGTAAACAGACAGAATGCTGTATCTAGGGCCTGGGAATGTCGCTCAGTGGTAACAAACTTGCTATTTGCTTCTCTCCTTAAGCCCTTCTTTCTTATATTTATTTTGTGTCATGGCACTGTGTGGGGGGTCGTCTATTCCTTTCACTACCTACGTCTCCAGGACTGAGCTCAGGTCAGGTTTGAAATCAAGTGCCTTTATCAGCTGAGCCATCTCACTGGTCTGCTTAAGGTTTTTAATGATTTTATTTATTTTTATGTGTTCTTGCCTATGTGTATGTATGTACACCACATGTAACTACTGGTGCTCTTGGAGTTACAAACAATTGCGAGCTGCCAAGTGGGTGCTGGGAACCAAACCTGGGTAATCTGCAGGAGCAGCAAATGCTCTTAACCACTCTCCAGCCCCTGCTTATGCTCTTTCCATCTTTCACAAAATGCTAAGCCTTTCTTCAGACAAGTCTCATATGACCTCATAGGATCATTCCCATATATTTGCTACTGACCCCATTCTGCACTGTCTACAAGAGAACACAGCTCAGTGCCATTCTATACATTTAGAACATTTACTGAGGTAACTGAGCATACCTATTTCTACATCCATGGGGAAACTGCAGCGTGAAGTTGCTATCACATATAGGACTATCTCTACTTCTCAAAAAAGATGCATTTATATTTCATGTCTTATGGTGTTTTGTTTGTCAGTAGAGGCCAAAAGATAACACCTGATCCTCTGGAACTATAGTTACAGATGGTTGAAAGCTGTCATGTGGGTGCTGGAAACTGAACCCCAGTCCTTTGGAGGAGTAGCCAGTGCTCTAAACCACTGAGACTATCTCCAGCTCTCCACCTTGGTTTTTGAGGCAGTCTCTCACTGGGATTTGCAGGTAAAGGTGGCTCCCCTGGGAGTCCCAGAGTCTGTTTCTTCAATACCGGGATCAAATTTTCATCACTGGGATCACAATATGCAATGACTCCTTTAATGGGTGCAGGAATTGCTTTCAGAGCAAGCACATGACAGACAGAGCTATCTCTACAGCCACCCACCAATCTACACTCCTCCCCCTCTCGCCTGGAATTAAAAAAAAAAAAAATCCTCTCTGTCCAGCTGGTAAAGGCCTTTGCAGCCAAGCCTGTAACCTGAGTTCAATCTCCAGGACCCACAAAATGGAGAACAGAACCAATTCCCGCAAGTTGTCCTCTGACCAGGGTGCACGGTAGCACGCGTGCACTCTACACACGAAATCCTTTTTCTTTTATAAGATGATGTTAGTGATGTAAGGTTTTACAGACTTAAGTGACCGCCCTCTTCTAAGCAACCTATTGGGGTGGTGGTCGATGGGAGGGGCTTTGTATAGACTCCCCACAAGTCGGACGCCAGAAGTATCCCGGCACAGGTGAGCACGCGGTAACTCTGGGAGTACTGCTTGCACACTGTTTCCAACCTCTATTTTTCCTGTCCCCCGTGCTGATCCTCTAAAGCCTCGGAGAGGTCAACCACTCCCACGCACCAGTTTATAGCTCAAGAGGAGACCTTTCAATCCCACCACAGAGCTCAGTGATGGAAAAGTCGCCACGTCGGAAGGCTAAAGCCCACCCAGCCCCGCCCCTCTCCGCGCCTGCGCCCCACTCCCGACCGACATTGCCCGCTGGGTCCCGACGGCTACGCGCCTTTGCTGGAAAATGGGCCTCAGAATATAGGTGTTCTCGGGCTCCCCTGTGTTCTTGTCGGCCTCGAACAAGCCCTCGGTGGCGCCGACAGATAAGCGGGTAGACAAAGACATAATCCCGCATCTGGATCCTGCGGATCTCTACTCTCTACTGCGAGGCCTAGCCGATCGCGGCTGCCCCTAGGTCCTGGGAGCGCGTCCCCAGGGCAACGGGTCGCTCACGTGATATGCCACAACCACGCCCTCCCTGCGCATGCGCACTGGCGATACCAGCTGGTGTCTAACAGTCTTAAGAGGAGTTAGGGAATTTATCCACCCGCTCGCAGACAGCAAGCCGCAGGACCAAACCCATCGGTTTTTTTTTTTTAAGATTTATTTATTTATTTATTTATTTATTTACTATGAATACTGTGCTCTGCCTGCATGTATCCCTGCACACCAGAAGAGGGCACCAGATCCCATTACAGATGGTTGTGAGCCACCATGTGGTTGCCGGGAATTGAACTCAGGTCCTCTGGAAGAGCAGGCAGTGCTCTTAACCTCTGAGCCATCTCTCCAGCCCCAGAATATATATATATATATATATATATATATATATATATATATATATATGTATGTGTGTGTGTGTGTGTGTGTGTGTGTGTTTTGTTTTTTGAGGCAAGTATTTTATTGAAATTTTTGTATATTATATTCTCATCACAATTTCTCCCAATGCCTCCCCACCTCCCTGACAGATCCAAAGAAAACTCTAATTCTCCAAAGGGTATCCCAGAAATACGCCCAAGCTGGACCACAGGGACTCTGGCTGTGAGATACTCAGGACAGGTGAAGCCGGTTGCCTTACCTCCTGCAGGAAGCACAGTAGGCTACCCAGGCTCTCATCAGCCTATCAAACTGGAAACCAAAGTATACAAGTATAAGATCAATAAGATATACCCAAAACAAAGCAAAATGAAGCAAAAAGTCTACCCAAATACCACTGATTTCTGTGTAAGCTGATGCCACAACTGCTCCATGATGTGGTTAAGGTTTTTACTATAGATATAAGAGAACAGTCAGGGGTATCTGAAAGAGCCCAGAGCAGACAGAGAAAGCAGCGGAGTGGACAGGGTCAGCAGACTGGTCTGGCTCTCTGTGAGAGAGGGGAGAATAGCGGGGGATAGAGAACAGAGGAAAAATAGTGAGAGAATCAGGAGCAGAGCACAGAGAGACCACAGCAAGAAGAGCAGGGTTACAAGGAGAATGAGTAGCTGTGGGGAGGGAAGCCCATGGAGGAGTTTAGGGCAGAAGAGGAGGTGAGAAGGGCTCGGAGGCTAGCATGGACTTTGAAATGTGTGACAGGCTCTTGTGATGCTGAGGGAGCCTGGAGGCCAGCATGAACTTTGATATGATGATAGTCCTCACAGGTAATTGATAGGTATTTTTGAATCCCTGGTAGTTGGGAATTAAAAGTCCAGGTTTAATGAGCAAAGCACCCCTTGGTGCTCTTGGGAGAACAGAGGAGGAGAAATCATGCGGCATCTCTAGGAGCTTAAGTACCCTGTGGGCAGGGGAGAAGCCACCACTTGGCGGACTTAGGGGCAGGGTTTGGAATGGGGAGGAACGGAACAGGACTGCAGCAGAGCTCTGAAGCGGAGCGCCCAACTGAACAACTGGACAGCCCAACCTTTTTGGCTTCTTCTGGCTACTTTCTGTTGGCACGAGACGATGTGGGGGAGGGAGTTGGTAGTCAGTGGGCTCATGCTCGGTGGGAGGTGTGGGTGAAGAAGCATTTGGTTAACTGTCATCCTACAGACCTTAGTTATCTGTTTCTTGAGGAAGTGGACAAGGCAAGTTGCTAGGAGAAAAATAGATTATTATCACCAGCCCTATGAATGGGGCTAGCCACAGGAGGAGTGAAGACTGCCAGTAAGAATGGAATGGAGATGTGCCCTGGTTGTACAAAAAGAGAGACGGGTGAATGAGCTAGATGAGTAAATGAGCTATGCCCTTGGGTCTGGAGAGGTGGTACCAGCACTGATGTCTCAGGAACTTTGGGGGGCAGGGGGTGTTGCATGCCAAATCGGGGTATGACCTGTTCCAGGAGTACCTTGAGTTGTCTTTCAGACCTTCAGAGTTCCCAGTGAAGGTTACCTCTCAGCAGTAAGAAGACATGTCTGGCAGGGGGATGAGACCTATAAAATACAGGCTTGAATTTGAGATTGAGTAGGGTCAAAGAGGATCTCTAGAGGCTGATATCAGTTTCCACTAGGTCCAATTTCTTTCTTTTTTCTTCTTTTTTTTTTTCGAGACAGGATTTCTCTGTGGTTTTGGAGGCTGTCCTGGGACTCGCTCTTGTAGACCAGGCTGACCTCGAACTCACAGAGATCCACCTGCCTCTGCCTCCCGAGTGCTGGGATTAAAAGCGTGTGCCACCAATGCCTAGCTCAGGCCCAATTTCTTGATGCAGTAGCAGAGTTCTTTCCCCATTTTTATCAAAATGTCATATCCTCAGATCTCTGTAGCGTCAGAGGATGGGGCATCATTATCTCTTAGGTATAAGCAGTTTAGTATCTCCAGAAAGCAAAACCAACCCAGTTTTCACAGTGTAAACAATTTAGTGCTTTTACAATTACTTTTTTTTTTTTTTTTGGTTTTTCGAGACAGAGTTTCTCTGTATTGTTTTGGAGGCTGTACTGGAACTCACTCTGTAGACCAGGCTGGCCTCGAACTCACAGAGATCCTCCTGCCTCTGCCTCCCGAGTGCTGAGATTAACGCCCGGCTTTCACAATTACTCTTATATTACAAAATTTGGCTGCTAGCAATGGAGGTACAGCTTTGATATTTCAGCAAACCAGTATTGTTTTTTTGTTTTGGTTTTTTTAAAGCTTTTATTTATTTATTATGTATACAACACTCCGCCTCCATGTATGCCTGCAGGCCAGAAGAGGGCACCAGATCTCATTACGGATGGTTGTGAGCCACCATGTGGTTGCTGGGAATTGAACTCAGGATCTCCGGAAGAGCAGCCAGTGTTCTTAACCTTTGACCCATCTCTCCAGCCCAACCAGCATTGTTTTAAACCTTATCTTTCATACACCTTGTTTTTAGGACAGGATGGGAATTATCATACAAAAATCCATCCTAATCTAAAGCATCTTGGAGACCTGTTGTAAGGTATCGGTGAAGTCACATGACCTCCCTCTTTTCAACCCTATTCAAAATGGTGTTATTTTCAGAGCAGTTATAAATTGGAATTACCAATTTTTTTGTTTGTTTGTTTTGTTTTTTGGGTTTTGTTTTGTGGTTTTTGTTTTTTGGTTTTTCAAGACAGGGCTTCGCTGTATTGTTTTGGAGGCTGTCCTGGAAGTCACTCTGTAGACCAGGCTGGCCTCGAACTCACAGACATTCTTCACCTGCCTTTGACTCCCGAGTGCTGGGATTAAAGGCATGTGCCACCAACGTCCAGTGGAATTACCAGTTTTAAATTAACTTTTGCTACAGATTTTTAACCATACCCAATTCCTTAGTTTTTTCTTTAATAATGTAGAATAGCCTAAAATAACTTTCTCTGTCATTACATCAGATTCAGAAAAGCCCAGAGGCAAATTCTGAGCCCAGGCAACTAGTTGTTACCAAGACATCCAAGCCCAGTCAGAAACAAGCATGTGGCCACATACATTTACACATTTCCATCCTATAAACAAATAAGATGGAACAGAAAGACAAACAAAACTTTTCACAGGAAACCTGTCAGATGGCCAACTTGAAAATCCTGAAATAAGAGTTTACAGTACAAGAAGCCATAGGAATAAAAGATGTTTTAGGAGTGAGGAAGTTGGGAATGAAAAGCGAGCCTCAGGACTGCAGGTAGAAACTGGGAACTGGCATGTTAGGACTGCAGTCTGACCGCACAGGGAGGAGCAGAAGATTCGGGAGGCATCCACATGGGTCTGCAGGCTGCAAGAGCCAGAGCCACGTGGAAAACACAGCTGGCTGGAGCTTAAACTGTGGGTCTCTCACAGGCTGCTGGGGGAGGGGAGAGAACAGGCATGTGCAGGACAAGAAGCAGCCGTTGTCTCTGCCCTTCTACTAGAGATAAGAGGAATGACTTTTTTTGGCTGATGGGAATGAGCTTCACAAGTTTCTGAGGAATGCTGGCTTTTATCAAACTTGCAGAAATCTTCCTATAGTCCACATTAAGCTCATGTCTGGATATTTGGGCTGACTTTTGGAGTTCGGGGAATTAGTTTCCTTTGGATCTGACACGTTTATTTTGTGTTGACCAACTATTCCTGGGCATACAGTCTACCTGAAGTGTGTTTAATATCCCCAGTGAGTCTCACTGGAAGGAAACTAATTTTCCTTTGCCAGAGGGTACAATTTGCAGACAGCTTCTTGGTTGGGGATAGGAGGCTGCGTTCGTTTTTACCTTTCAGAGCTGGCACCCTGTCTAGCTTGCAGCTCGGCAGGTCTTGTGCACACTGCCACAGTCTCTGTGAGTTTATGTGTGTCTCAGTCCATCACCCCTGCTCTATAGCCTTTGCACCTCCTCTTCAGAATAGATCCCCAAGCCCTGAGGGGAGGAGTTTGATGAAGACATGCCGTTTAGGACTGAGACTTTAAAGTCTCACTCTGCACTGTCCAGTTAGTTCTCATCTACTACAAGAAGAAGCTTCTCGGTTGATAGTTGAGCAAGAGGCTGATATATAGGTATAACAGAACGTCATTAGGGGTCATTTTATTGCAATGTTCCTTTAGCAGACGAATAGCGTTTGGTTTTCCCCTAGACCCATGGCCTATCCAGTTTCAGGTTCTTGGCCATCCTCGTAGTATCAGGCAGGGTTCCATCTCATGTAGTGAGCCTTGAATCTAATCAGAAAGTGGTTGACTACACTCACAACATTTGCACCACCATTGTCTTCCAGGCAAGTCACTACTGGAGGCCCAGGTAGTGTTCAGGACTCCTTCCAGTACCACGAAGGCTGGTCAGCAGGGGTGAAGCCTCTCGTTAGGCACCAGCTTGAGTTCTCCGGTTCAGCAATAGGGCCTTCCCATCAGCTGAGGCAAGGTTTGGATTGGTAACCTGCAACTCTACCTTAGCCTCAGGAGTGCTTGGACTACAGGCCTTACTACTATCCCAATTTTATATTTTTGTAATAACTGTAAAGTCAAAAGAAAAAAACAAAAAGTGGTGTGGTTGAATGTCGCACCTGCTGTGCGGCCTGCATCCAAGAATGTATC